ACCACCCTTCTCGTGTTCCATTTGATAAATTCTTTGAATCCTCCCTTGTTAACCTGGTTTCCCATTACAACAATATTACTATCACCGGCTACTCAACGTGAATATGCTTTTACAATCTCTTGATAAAAAAATACTTCCTAACTGACCTACTGTTTTCCCTTAATCTTTATCTTGTTCCTTATTCTCCTACCCATCACACGCAATTTTCCGACACCTGGTTAGACCTCTACATCTCTGACTCTCACGTCAAAATCCTCTCCTCTTCTCAACACCCCGTTCCATTTCTTTCACCACACGGCCTTATACAAATTACAAACGACCTACCCGTGAAATCCTTTACTCCCAAAATTGATTCATACCGTAATTTAAAATTTCTATCCTATGAATCCCTACAACCTGACCTTGATTCTTTCCAATAGGACATCATATCTTCCCATGACACGATTGATCCTATGGTATCTACCCTAACCTCAAACCTACAATCTATATTAGATACCCATGGCCCTCTGAAAACTAAAATCTTACGTCGTCCCACTGCGCTTTGGCTGACTTCTGAAATAAAAGAAATGATGAAAAGAAGGGTTGCAGCAAGGCGCAAATACCATCGAATCCGTTTTTCCAGCTGATTATGCCTCTTTTGAGACACATCGCAATGGAACCCAATCCACAATCCGATTTGCTAAAGCCATCTACTTTCATAATGCCCTTACCAATGCTCCCGATTCCAAATCCAAATGGAAAAAACTCCGTAACCTATCCCTACCAGAATCGTATTAACTCAGTTCCATCTCGGTGACTCCAGATGATCTCAATGACCATGTCTTATCCTTCACTCACAATTCTTCTCATACTTTCGATATTAAACATCACAATTTTATTCATGTAGACTTCTTCTTTCCTTATGTGACCTACGGTGAATTACTTTCCACTATTCTAAAATACCACAATAATGATTATGGTCCTGATAATATCTCAGTAAAACTAATAAAATCCAGCCTTCCTATCCATATTCCTGTTCTTTACCATATCCAGAACTTTTCATTGCAAAACTCTATATTCCCATCCTCCTGGATAACTGCCCTTTGATTTTGGGCAAGTTCAACCCCAACCTCCTGGTCACTTAATTAATTTTTCACCACTTTGACTATTGCTGTACGGTATATGGGGGCGCCTCTGGGAATCTCGAGGCGAAACTAATAATAATAATAATAATAAAACACTTAGCGAACCCGAAGGTTCAAAGCCGACTCCACCAATCGCTTATTACACACTTCCCTCCACCGTTTGCCGTCCTAATCTAGTCCCTTCAGATCGGCTTTAATGCAATCTTCCCACCTTCGCTTCGGTCTACTCCTCGGACGTTTACCATTCGGTACAGCAAATATTAACCTTTTAGGAATTCTCTCGTTATCAAGCCCAACAATTTTACAGGCCCATTTGATTCGCCGGGATGAAATCACCTCAATTATATTACCCGGATGTAGTTCACGCAATTTGGCGTTGTGTAACCGTCTGAACTCTCCGGTTAATTCATCCTTCTTCGGTACGAATAATCTACGCAATACTTCATTTTCAAAAATCTTAAGACACTGCTCATTCCTTAATGTAATCGGCCACGTTTCGCAACCATAAAGAATTGTAGGTAAGACAATGGTTTTATAGATTCTAATTTTTAAGTTGCGGGACAAGAGGCGAGCTAAGTAGTTTTGTCACGGAGAAATAACAAGCATATCCCGCCTTCAGTCTAACCTTAATCTCTTCTTCAATTTCGTTTTTTCTAGTTATCGTGGACCCTGGATTCCTAAACTTCTCTACCTGTTCAAACTAGACCTGGGCAGAATTTATTTGAAAAATATTCCCGGAATAAATCCCTAAATAAACCTCGATAGTTATTTCCAAAATGATTTATTTCATGAAATAACCTGACCATTATTTCCGAAATGATTATTTCGGGAATAAATTATTTCAGGAATAATGATACAATTATTTCTGAAATGATTATTACAGGAATAATGTTGTGAAATAATCATTCTGATCGACTTTTCAGATATAATCAATATCCGGGTCGACTGTTATGCTTTCAGGGACGCTTATTATAAAAATAATGTGAAATTTGAGATTGCGCCCCCCACCATCTCACATCAACTTTTTGTAACGTTTCTGAAATAATCGATATCAGGGTCGACTATTATGTTTTCGGGGTATCTTATTATGAAAATACGGTCGAATTTGAGATTGCGCCCCCCTCCTCCTCCATCCACCAGCATCAACTTTTTGTAACTTTTCGGATTTGATCGATATCAGGGTCGAGTATTATGTTATCGGGGGCGCTTTTTATGAAAATATGGTCGAATTTGATATTGCGCCACCCCCCTCCCCACCTCGCATCGACTTTTTGTAACTTTTCAGATATAATCGATATCAGGGTCGACTATTATGTTTTCTGGGTAGCTTATTATGAAAATATGGACGAATTTGAAAAAGATACCCCGAAAACGTAATAGGCGACCCTGATATTGATTAAATCCCAAAGGTTGCTAAAAGTCAATTGGAGGGGAGGAAGGGGCGCAATCTCAAATTCGACCATATTTTTATAATAAGCTACTCCGAAAACATTATAGTCGACCCTGATATCGACTAAATCAAAAATGTTGCTAAAAGTCGATTGGGGAGGGGAGGGAAGGGCGCAATCTCAAATTCGACCATATTTTCATAATCAGCTACCCCGAAAATATAATAGTCGACCCTGATATCGATTAAATCCGAAAGGTTACTAAAAGTCGATTGGGGGGAGGAGGGAGCGCAATCTCAAATTCGACCATATTTTCATAATAAGCTACCTCGAAAACATAAAGTCGACCTTGATATCGATTAAATCCGAAAGGTTACTAAAAGTCGATGGTGGGGGAAGGGGGGTGAGATGGTGGGGCGCAATCTCAAATTCGACCGTATTTTCACAATAAGCTACCCCGAAAACATTATAGTCGATTAAATCCGAAAATTTACTATAAGTCGATGCTGGTGGGTGGGGGAGGGGCGAAACTCAAATTCGACACTATTTTCATAAAAAGATACCCCGAAAACATATTTTTAAATTTTTTATGTTATTTCAGAACAATGTTATTTCTGAAATATTCATTTCTTGATTTTTGCAATAATTTATTTATGAAATAAATAATTCTGAAATAATAGTTATGAAATAATTTATTTCAGAAATAACTCATTTCAAAATAATTCACTTTATTCCGCAGAATGTCAGAATAGTGAAGTAATTATTTCAGAAATAAATTCAGCAGTTATTCCATCGAGATTATTTCATTGACAGTTTGAAATATTATTTCAGAAATAACCATTATTCCGGAAATAATTCATTCGTGGAATAACCATGTGAATTATTTCAGGAAGAAATTATTTCGAGAGTGCCCAAGTCTAGTTCAAACATATTACTATCTATATCGATATCACCAGTAATGTCGCCATTTTTAGTATATAAATTATTTGTTTCGCCATTTTTTTATATAAATTATTAGATTCATGGCGCAAGTTGAAAAATAGAGGCGAAACTAAAACGTTTGATAAATTGATCTGTACAATTCATCTTCGGGATCCCAAGAGACGCCCCTGTTTCCCGTTTTTATGTAGAGTTGAAGTGGCTTTATCCTTCCTACCTTCGTATTTCCTGGCATCCTTCCTCTTTCAAGTCATCCAATCCCACCGACTTTCATACATCCCCGAGCTCCTCCAATTCATATCCTCTGTTCGTTCCATCAATACTCGCTACTAGTCTTTTGATTTATATCTAAGGGCCCACCGAACCACTGCTTTCGACATATCGTTCATTATCCGATCCTCATCCCTACGGAACTCCATCCCTTACCACATCCGTCAATCCAATACCCTTCCTACCTTTAAATCCCGCCTGTTCAATCATTTCTTATCCATCCAGTCCCCATAAAATTGTAAATAGATACCACTGTAAATGTGTATATAAATTATTAGATCATTCTTTATTGTTTTTACTTTATTTTCAATTTTTATTATTAACTGATTTAAGTTAGAAAGTTACTTATAATTTTTTTATTATGACTATTTAATTACTCAGCATTTTTGTTTATGTATATGTGAGGCTCCTTAGCCCATATTTCTGTCCTTCTGTATTATTCTATAAGGACTCGTCCCAGAATAAATAAAGTATTATTATAAAAAACAAAGTTGAATTTCGAGGAAAATTACCCATTGGGCCCTTGATTTCAGGACACAGGTCTTGATGCCTTTATCGAAATCTTTAAAACTCAATTTGTTGGTCCGTCGACTGAGCACCACCGGTGTTTTGAAACTTACTTTTTTTTCAATGACTTTTATTGAAATTCAGACGATTTTAAGGATCGGTATTTGGATTCTTCACTTCTCCATAGAATTCTCTCTTTTTTGACATCTTGTTTATCAAAATCCATCGCTTCTGGGAACTGCAAAAGGTATTAACACTGCTATGTTATATATCAGTAATAGATTCTTGATTGTTTTTTCTATATATCTCAAACAAATTCTGATATTATTCTGAACCTCAGCATTAACAGATTACTAGTGAAATGGTCAAGATTCATATAAAATTTCGTAATTTGACAGTGAACTATAATTAAATAGATGAAATTACGGATAGGTAAATGTTCGTTGTAGCCCCCCTTACCTAAATTTTAAATATTAAATATCCCTCATAATTTTTAGTAAATGGCTAGTTAATCAATATTAGTGTGTTGTATAATATAAAATATATTCTGTAAACAAACTAGTTGCCAAGTACAGTTAATACCAAAATGTAGTAATTTGTTGTATACAATGAAAAATTAAGTAAATACCTAGTTTTATTTTTAAAATCATAATTATTAAATATAATAAGTTAATTCATTATTTATACGCACGTTAAAAATATATTTTAAAAATAGTTTGGTACATTTCTAATTAATTTTTGTTCTAAATGCGAAAAATACAACACTGGCAACCTCTTTAGTTCAGCCCTTCTTTTTAAGCGATCTACTCGGTGTGAATTGTGTGGTTTAGGGTAAGTAAATGTTTAATCGCATTAGTTAACTTTTTGTAGCACATATTTTACTTTTTATTATTTGTCCGTAATCCAAATGCTCATATTCAATAATAATGGTTTTACAATAATTTTATTTCCTTCTTTTAGTAAAACACGTGGAGACACATAACCTGTATGAGTTAGATCTTTACACGTGAAAAAGATATTTATCGCGTGTCATCTTTCTGTTGTTTGTTAGTATTGAACTTAAGTTTATTTTTTAGTTTACTGTGGATGGCACTGTGTTGTTTACTTTCTTCTGGATATTTTTTTGATTCTGTTTTTAATGTTTACTTCATATTAAATTTACTGAAGCGTGCTATATTAAAAGTGGTCATTATTACATTCTCAACAGGACTCTCAATATTCTAGTGCAACAAATTGCCTTTGTGTTTTATTTATTATATTATATAATTTTTCTTAAAATCTTTGTTCATTTTATGAAAAGTAATTTTATATTTGAAACAAGTGTTTTTCATGTTTCTAATGGACCATTTAACAATAGATTATACATATTTGAGTAAAACGGTTAGTAGTTACCATGTTACTGAACTTGTTTGTCTAATATTTTATAAAATATGATTACAGATAAATAACCATGGGTGACAACTGGGATGAAGCTGGTGATGAAGTCATGGTTGATGATGTTGAGGGTGAAACTCTAGCCATTGCCCCAACAGCAGAACTTCCAGAAATCAAATTATTTGGTCGTTGGAGTTGTGATGATGTCCAAGTCAGTGATATGTCTCTTCAGGTTAGTTTGGTGCTAAATTTTATTTTGATTCTTTTATGTAAGTTGTAATTGTTTGCCTATTTTAAGATATGCACTAATAAAACAATTATAATCTCATATATCTGTGATTGTAACTGTAATTGTTTCTCATCGTAATCTTAATGATCAATTTTGAAATATTCAACTACATTCGGGTATCAACAATTTTATAGCTTATAGAAGTTAAGTTATATTTACTATAGGCATTGTAGACTTCTATTTCTTAGAACTCAATAAAAATATATGGAATTAACGTATCTTATTTATTAGTTTTTGTTGCTGCATTTTTAAGTTGGTTTAACTTTTGTACTTTTTAACATTTCATTTGTTTGCTGTTATTACTCATCTTCATTTTATTTGAATTTCTACTTCTGTTATTATTGACATTCAAAGTTATTAATTTCCATGATCTTAAAAAGTATAGTGTCAAATATAGTGGGTCATAAACTTAAAAATTGTTTTTTTTTTAGTATACATTAGTTAATCGTTAAAAATAGTACAGGAGTTTGTCATTATTATTGGTGGGAATTATAAAATTGTATTGATTTCAATATTTAGTGTGGAATATAACTTAAATGGGGGCCGATATAGCAGAGTGGTTTGTGCGCTACTCTAGTAAAGCAAAGATCATAGGATCAAATCCTGGCCCTACTTCCCAATACGGATGGTCCCCACGGGAAGTTAGACCATTACCCTCTTAATTAGGGTAGGCCTACTTGTAAGAACTGGCTATAAAATTATAACTTAAATGTTTAGGATAAATCTTCTCATGCAGTTGCTGATGCTGGATTTGAAGATCCAGCTGTCTTCATAAACTAGTTTCGACATTTTATGAACAATGTTATTGATGTGATTGTGGCCCACCTGTCATACCATCATATTACTACAGTATTATCCTACTATATTTTGGTTCTTAACATGGTGTCACTTAAACTGCATTTTTTTTCTTTTTCAATTTCAATAAAGATTCTATTTTTGGTACTAGTTCACAAGAGTTCCGCACGGATTACGCGTGGTTCACAATCACTTTGATCACACTTTTTCATGGAATCCCGAAAACAGCCGAATGTTGTCGTCTTTTATGACGTCAGCTATTGTTCCTCTTAATGCATTTTTGAAAGAAAAAAAAATGTATTCCCTTCGTGGAACTTCCTTATTAAAAATGTATTAACAAATTGTGTATTTACTAATTAGTTAATTATTAATTTGCATTATAACTGTCATTACTGTGAAAGAAAAAGAAAACATATATAAAATAATGTCTGAGTCTTTCTTCAAGGCCTGTAAAAAAAAAAATCTTTTAGAAATAAAATTTTTATTGACACGTGATTACATGTAGTGGCTATAAATACGCATATACTGTTGTATATTATCTATTATAAATTGTATAAAAGAGTTTTTTATCATTTGGATAATAAATAATCCGAATGGCTATTATTGTAGTCATTCGTAAAATAAAAAAAAATAAAAAAATCGTGTTTATTTTCGAGCAAGTAATTAACGTATTGAGGAAAGAACTGAAGAAGAATATCTGATAATTCCAAGATAATGAATAATGGAAATCATAAATAAGAAAAATATTGTGAAATAGCATTCAGAGATGTAATAATTAAATGTTTTTATCTATTAATATTCCTTTTTCACATATATATAATATATGTGCATGTTCGATTCAGGTTTCGTAATGTGTAGTCTAAATTTCGAATTTAAGTCAATACTTTAAATAACGTAAATATAACTGAACATGGTTAAGGTTATAGTACTTAAATGGCGGGAAAGTTAATCGTAACAAATTCAAGAGATCGGTCGCCTTCGTTCTCTGTCGGATAAACCCGAAGGCATTCGGGATTCCATGAACAAGTGTGACCAAAGTGATTGTGAACCATGCGTAATCCGTGCGGAACTCTTGTGAACTAGTACCCTATTTTTAAATGTTTTGATACTTTTAAAGAAGAGTCACTTCAACTTAGTAGGTGGGCATTATCTCACAGATTGTAAACTACCTTCCATGAGGATTAAATGTTTCCCTGCTGTAATCCTCACTCTGTTCACTACTTTTGTGGAAATAAACTTTAATATCAACATCATATATAAGTTAGTTTAAGCTCATCATCCATGTTGACACTTCTGTACTAGGACCAATGTTTAAAAAAAATATTTTTATTGGAAAACAGTCATTCCATGTAGGTTTATGTTTAATTTATTATGTTACCTACTCCCTACAAGAAAAAAGGTCAGTTCTTTAAATAGGCTTGATGTAAAATGATAGTTTTTAAAATTAATAGAAATGTCTAAAAGTTGATTAAAAAATATAAAGGTTTGATACATTTAAGTTTTTTATTTTTTTAATATAAATTTTAGTATCTATGTATGAAATAAACCTTAAAATAAATTCATTTTTACAGGATTACATTGCAGTTAAAGAAAAGAATGCAAAATATCTGCCTCATTCAGCTGGGCGTTATGCTGCTAAACGTTTCCGAAAAGCTCAGTGCCCTATTGTTGAGCGTCTGACTAATTCTTTGATGATGCACGGCAGAAACAATGCCAAGAAATTAATGGCAGTACGGATAGTAAAACACGCTTTTGAAATAATTCACCTTTTGACTGGTGGAGAAGTAAGTTCTAAACCATATATTATAGATTTCTTAAATTTTTTGTTTGTGATAAAGAGAGGGATGATTGAGATAACTTAGTGAGTAAGGCACTTTGTTCCTGGTCTTGGTTTCAAGTTCAGCTGTGGTAGGCTGTATTATTTATTCTAAGACATCATCTTTAGATCTACATTTGTTTTCTTTTTTTCTCGCTTCTTGCTCATTTCTGGTATCTGGAAGAGGGTTTTTTACAGGTTATTTAATGCATGTTCTCAGTAGAGTGAGAAGATTATGATTCATTCTGTGTCCACCTTATAAATTTCAACCTACCGACTAGGCTAAGGAGATCCCCTAACACGACCTGTATGGTATTGCTCTGGTTGAGGGAATGGGGTGCTGTGCACAAGCGTTTCCTAGCAACCTGATAATCAAAGTTAATTGAAAAAATATGAGTTCAAATCCTAAATTTTAATTTTAACTCTGCATAATTCCCCTGCCCTCTCCCTAGCCGGGGAAAAACTCTGTGTAGCCTAAAAGACAAGGAAGGGGAGACAAAAAAAGGTATTGCTCTGGTGGATCTCTTGTGGCACACCTAGTTTCTATGAATTTAAATTGTGGTAAAGTGAGATCCTACACAAATCATCCCTGTTGCCTAGAAACTACTTCCTTACAAAGTGCTCAAAATCCCTTTGTGATTTTTAGTGGTGCAATTTTGTATTCATTATTTCTTATAATGATGTCAGTGTTTTATTATATATAGCTAAAATGTTGATCAGATAATTCATATTTTTTAATTTATTTCTCTTGATGTTACAGAATCCCCTGCAAACATTAGTGCAAGCCATCACTAACTCTGGTCCTAGGGAAGACTCTACTCGTATTGGTAGAGCTGGTACTGTTAGGAGGCAGGCCGTTGATGTGTCTCCTCTTCGCAGGGTTAACCAGGTAATTACTAGGAGTTATCTCATTAAATTATGAAATTTTATAATGTCTTTATTTATTATGTACTTAATTTTTTGCAGGCAATTTGGTTGCTCTGCACTGGAGCTCGTGAAGCAGCGTTTAGGAACATTAAGACCATTGCTGAGTGCTTAGCTGATGAACTCATCAATGCTGCTAAGGTGAACAAAATCATAATAATTTACAGATTATTTTTCTTTTATTGAAATTAATTTATTTGTTGCTAAGTTTTCTACAAAATGCTTTAACCAGAAAAGTAAAAAGAAGTAGATTTGTGCATTTATGAAAATTTTATTTGTTTTCTTTGATAGGAATATTTAATTTATATTTTCTTAATTTTATTGTTAAGAAGACTATAAATTATTACAGAAATTTATTATTATGCTTTATTAAATCATCCCACTCTCCATGTCTGATATCTAGTTATGTTTTCATAGAAGGGGAACATAATGTTTAAGTATGTTCAGCATTCAATGTATCAAGTACTTGATGATGATTTTTTTGCACTTTTTAAGTCAATCCAATGTCCAGGCCTCTGAATATTGATGATGATTTGCAATGATCTGAAAGTAATTCTTTCATAATAATTTTAAGAATGATAGATAAGTTGTATTAAATTTTTTTTTAAAATGATTTTCTGTTTGTAATGGTAAATGTCATTGACTGACTGGCAGGAATTGTAGAGGGAGTTGATCGGGGTGTGACTATAGATTAAATGACACAGAAATAAACCTTATTTTTGTATTATTTCATCTATGACCACGACCACCAACTAACTTCCCATACAACAATTATCTCATTATTCAACATCACAAATGAGGAGCTCTAGTTTAAAATTCATAGTGCCCTGAAATTGTAAATTATTTCTAGCAAAAAATCTGCTACTGTCCAAAATGTTCAGATTATGTTGTTTCTTATCACTGAGATACAAAAACTTAAAAGTTTTTTTTTCACTATAAAATATATCTCATCCATATATTAATTTTTTTTTGCTTCCTCACTACCGTAGTTAGTGAAGCATTGTATTCGTGCAAGAGGTAAAAAAAAATTGTGTGCTCAGAATCAAAAATTTCCACTCTCGTTTTACATTTCAGACATTAAGGATCAAATTTGGTTCGGTGTCTGTAGTCAAATCGATGTGATGGGCATATCACCTTCTACTGTTTATCCGATTTTATTAACTTCTAACTAGCACTTCCGCTTACGCACGCGCAAACGCATTTTTGTAGGTATGCCAATATTTCAGAAACGGCTTGTTCGATTTGGCTCAAAATTGGATGTAGGTATTTGTAAAAAAAATAGTGTAGGGTCAATTTTATTGAATTCTGTCCATTGCTTTCTCTTATATATGCGCAAATGCGTTTTCCTTGATACGTCTATATCTCTTAAACTATAAGTTTGATTTGGCTCAAACTTGGAGGGAATTTAGGAATTGGTCAACGTAAAATAAAATAGGCATCAATTTTATCAAATTCTATTTAATACTAAAAAATCAAAATTCTTCCGCTTTCAGATTAGGAAAAGTGTTATGTTGATATGCCTATAGTATGATACGGCGCATTTGACACAAACTTGTAGGAAATTTTTAGAACAGTATAGAAATGCCTTAGTATTAAATTCATTGAATTCCATTTAATAATTAAAATTAATATAAATGATCGTTAACAATAAAATGGCTGTGAAATGTGGAAGGCAAAAATCATATGGAGTGGGAGTTTGGTTATTACAATATTGTGAAGGGTTTTTTAAAATTTTAGGTTTTATTCCAAAAAATAATTTATACTGGATTGTTTGGCCAATACCAAACGTTACTGACATGATACTTATTGAAGCTACTTAGATTTCGTGTAATTTAAAGTAATTTTTACTTTGAATTTGTAACGGCTTATTTGTGATTGTGTTTATTTCCATTGTGGTTCAATCAGCTCGTCATGGGTTTGATTTTCTCCTTAAAAATCAAAATTTTATCAACTTCACTCATATTTTTATATCCCAGCATAATTAGTTTTGTTCTGACTAAAGAAAAGTATTGGTCTCGTTAACTCTGAACAAAGAAAAAGTTGAATTTTTTGTGTGGATTTTTTTTCCATCCATTTTACGAGTATAAAGATATGTATTAAGTATATATCACTACTGTTAGTGCAAAGGTTGTATGTAAAAGTTTTCTATTTTTGACATTATGTAGTCTGCAATCGATATAAGTAGTCTACTATTATGAAAAATAGCAGAGGACAATAAAATATACTAATATAAACATAAAGGAATAATTAATTTTTTTGCTCTCTTGTAAAACACTCAATTTTTATATCCGTAATTTGCACTAACAGTAGCGAGATACATGGTCAGTATGCACTGGAATTTTTTTTTAATTATGAATTATCAAATATGCAATCAGCAAAGGCAGAACTTTTTAGCATGAAAATGGAAATGAGCATACATTTTGATCAGGAGCTCCATACATAAATCTTTAAATACAAAAATTATATAATGTAATAATATTACAGGTGAGCAATGTAATAAACCAAGAAAAAAAGTTCGACATCATGGGGTAAAATTAAATTTCAGGGAAGGATAGTTTTTTATCTCTTTTTGTTACTCTCACAAATGAATATAGCCACAGGTCTCTGAATCCTGCTGATGATTTGCATTTATCTGAAAGTAAACAATTGTTAATGCATACTACTGTGTTTGGAAATTAGCTTATGAATATTTATCTGATAGGCTACAATGATAGCAACTTTTTCTCATTAAACTTTGATGATTGAGTATTGAATTTGTGATTATTACTTATATATTTACAATGTCCAGGAATCTGATCCCTGGTGGTAATTTGCAGTTATCTCAAAGTAAACAATTGTTAAGCTATGATTTATTAGATATTCTACAAGTACCGAAATTTTTGTTGTACACTTCTTATGATTTAGTATATGTTAGTGCAGATACTTTGATTTGGGAAAGTGAGCAGAAAAAGAAACTTAATGATGATTTCTGCACTTTATCAAGTCAATCCAATGTCCAGGCCTCTGAATCCTGGTGATGATTTGCAATTATCTGAAAGTAAACAAGCATACAAAACCACTACATTAGGATTCATTTATTTGATAGCTCATGATATTCTACAATATTGTAACTTTTTTAACTTTAATGATTAAGTATATAATCTGTTAATGTTAATGTTGTTGTGTTATCCTCTTCTGGTCTGATTACTTGCGATTTGGTAAAGCCAGAGAATAAACACTTGATGATGATTTCTGCACTTTATCAAGTCAATCCAATGTCCAGGCCTCTGATCCCTGGTGATGATTTGCAGTAATCTGAAAGTTAACAAGACCACTGCGTTGGGATTCGTTTATTAGGGCTATGCACTATTAGATATTCTACAATAATTAAAAATTTTCTTATGCAACTCTGTTGAGGAAAATTATAATCTTGATTTGGGAAAAATCAGAAAAAATACTTGATTTGTTGATTTGTACTGTTTTCGGGAGTCTAAATGTATATTAACCCATAAATAACTGTGCTAAATAATATTGTAATCAATATTCCTAATTCTGTTCAATTTTCTAATTCAACAGAGATCAGAAATCTGTTTTCAAGATTTAAGAATTTTTTATAGAATGTTTTAATAGTATTGATCTTATTTAGGATCCTAATCAATGGAGAAGGTGGTTGTTCCGTAGTTACGAAGAAGTTTCCTAACTTCTTTCTGCAATATAAATGATATGCCCTGACTGAAGGAGAACTACAACATAGGTCGAACTTAGACAATTAAAATGAACTCTATTATAATATATAGCGTATTTCTATTGACTATACGTCCAACCAACTTCTCTTTAAATTAGATTTGCTGTCAACTATTTCCATTCCAATAGAATCTTAATCCTTATATAATGCAACTTCACTTATGAAATCATCCATTATCAACAAATTAAGCTTATTCCTGTCTTATCCTATCACGCTTCCCTCTGTTTACCTAAAAATCAAAAATCTGTTTATTTATTTATTATATTTTTTAAAAATTGTTTTTACTTATTACTGTATTGTATTTTTTTAAAAAAATATTTATTTATTTATTATATTTAAAAAAATATTTTTATTTTATTTTTGCAGGGATCCTCCAACTCTTATGCAATTAAGAAGAAAGATGAGCTGGAACGAGTTGCCAAGTCCAATCGTTAATTTTTTTTATTTCATATTGGTACCTCAATAAAATTTGGTACTTCTTTTAATATTTTTGTCCTTTTGTTCCTTAAAATCCATCATTTTCCTTTCAATTATTTTCAGTTATTTTTTACTAACATTAACTTAACTTTCCCAAAACAACTTCGCTGCCGATTATTAGTTATCTTGTAAACGCCAGTTACAAGTTACTATATAGAATGTTTTTGTTAAACCTATGCCGCATATAACTAAACTCGTAGTATTTTGAAGGTATTAGGCTCTGGATATGAGCATGGAACAGTATTTGAAAATGTTGCTCGGCTGTGAAGTTGTTAATAGAACTTTTTTTTTTTTTTATTATTTCTGAAACATTCTTCCACATAATGGGTAATTATATAAATGGGGTCTTTTAATACTTAAGGTAAAAACAATTTTTATCAGTTAATATTTTTCTTTGGGATCTCAGTGTTACATTACATTAGGATTAAAAATAGTTTTTAAAAGTTCATGTTTGTTTTATAAAACATAGGTGCCATGCATCAGTTTGCTGAGAAAAATGAAAAAATAATTGTCAAAACTCATTTTTAAGTAATCATTCCATATATTTTATATGGAAAATTTTCACAACTAGTATAATACAAGGTTTAAATTTTAAACTATAGACTTTTACTCTCACTCTCTTATACTGTAAGAGATATATAGTAAGGGAAAGTATTACAGTCAGGAAAATTTTGAATGAAAATATACGTTTTGATACACATTGGAACAAGGAAATTAAATGTGTTAATACATATTGCAACAATTGAAATACAATGTGTTATTACAAATTTATCTTTAATAACAAATTATGAAGCCATTAATGACCAGCTCGGGTAGATGCGGAATGTAACAATAAAAAAAAATTATAAAGTAAGTAACGTTTAGTGATTCCCAAAATTAATTTGTTACATGATTTTTAATACTTACTACTTTACTTTTTAATACTATTTCAAAACAATTTTTTTATAAATATACAAGTCACCAAAAAAAATTATTACTTAACCCATCTGTTTTTTTTCTAAACAATGAATTTACGTATCTATGTAAAGTTGAAATATAATACAATTTCAATGGTTCTAGTGAAAAAAAAATCATTCATTTAACAAACCTTATACTATTTTTTTTTTATTAGTAAAAGGATTAAGATCAAACAAAAATATATTTATTAGTTGACCGTTGCATTATAAAGGAAGGAGATGGTCCGGGGTTGCGGTCATAAATAGGCTAAATAGTTGTAAAACTATTTTATTGAAAGCCAACGTTTCGACCCGACTTTGCAGGTCTTCATCAGGGCTAGAACGGACAAGATACAAAAAGATAGAGAATTGTGGCAATTACATAATATTTAGACATAATTTATAAACAATGTGAATAAGCTTATTAAAATTATAAACAGTAAGTACAATAAAATATGGACTAAGTAAGCTGAGTAACAAGATCCTAAACTAAAGTAAATAGATGCTAACAATTGTTGTAGTCTAATATATAATAAATGAAAATGTGAGTATAATTCTACAAAATCTACAGGAGAAAAATAAAATTAGAGACTTACAGGTGTGTTCCTCTAGGAGTTTCACTTAGAACTGGAAAGGCAGCGGTAAGGATTGCAGGTATAGGGGAAGTTAACTAAGTAAACTTTGAAAAACCCAGGAAATTACAGTATCTAGGAATTTTTGAAGATATGGATGGATACAATGGAAAAATACTATATCTATGAAATATTAAATTATAAATATACATATAAAATAGAGTTGAGAGATGTGAGAGGTATTTCATGATTCTAGATCAGAGTACAATGTGAATAAACCCAAAATTGGCAAAAGTAAAATATAAATATAGAAATAACTTCATTAACATACATATATTGCAGAGCTAACTTAAAAGTATAGAGAGGGGGAAAAAAAATTAATACTTATAATTATATTTGGTTGTACATATGTAAGAAAATTACATTTGAATATTAGATAATGAGACATGGTTAATAAGTAAAATTAATACTAAGTGGGAAAAAGGATGATCATACATTGGTGTAGAGTGTAAATGTAAATTTAGAATAAAATAGAAGAGGAACATACAAAGAAGGAATATTTAGAATAATGAACAATTAAATGAATTAATTAATAAAAATTGAGAGTAGATGAAAATAATAGAATAGAATATTTAAGTTATTTTTCACTTATAAGACTTAAAATGTGTCTATATGTAAGAGAAATACAGTTTTTGTCTACTTTGTGATTGATGGGATTCTGTTCCATGTGAATGTGGATAGATTCGGAAATGAGTCTTTTTTCATGGTTAGGGACCGTGGAAAGGATAGAGGTTTTTTCAAAATCAAATGATTGGTTGAGGGTTAAAGCATGTTCTGATAGTTTGGAGGTGGAAGGATTCCGGGAAGTTATGGACGTTTTATGTTGGGAAATGCGGGTTTTGAGATAGTTTTTGGTTTCACCAATATAGGAGCTATTGCAATTAGGAGTAGAGCAGGGTATCCGGTAAACTACATTGGATCGGTGTTGTAAGAGTATGGGATCCTTCAAGTTGGTGAAAAGGAAAGTTTGTTATGGGACTTAAGGCCAAGGCGTAAGTTGGTTATAGTCGATTTTAGGAATTTTTGTGTGTTGTCTGAGAGGATAGGAATATAGGGGAGAGATTTGTATATGAAAGGAGTGGTAGATGATTGTGGAGAGTTGGGAGAATGGGAGGTTGTATTGTTTTTGGTTGTATAGCAATTTAAAAGTTTATGAATGGTGTTGATAGGAAAATTATTAGAGAGCAGTATATTTTTGACACACTGAGTGTTGGCTTGATGGTATTGTGGATCGGATAAGGAGAGGGATCGGTGAATGAGGTTTTTGGCGGTATTGATTTTTTGGTGATATGGGTGTTGGGAGTAATAGTTGAGTATAAAAATATATTTACAGTTAAACTTACAACAAATAACAATAGAAAGGAAAGTTTTGTACTGATGTAAATAGTTAAAATGGAGTGGAATTGTGGATGTAGAGCGATCTTGGGTAGACCCTTATTACTTTAGTCAATTATCACGTTTGTCGAGTTTATATTTAACCATTTTCAATTGTTACATTATGAGGTGGTTAATTATTTTTAATTAACAAAATTAAAGGAAATTTTTTTTTAAAATTCGTCTTTCAAGCCTTGTCAGGCTATTCAAGGATATTCAATTACAAAAAAAACCTGCCTGCCATTAAAGACCACATGAATTAACATTAATTTAATGAGTTTAATCAAAATTGTTAACACCATTTTTGAAAATTTGATATGAAGTGTGTCCCACTTCCAATTAGTTGATTTTGGCTAGAAAGTTATTGGGATTTTCCAGTTAGGCTTTTCATGAACTTGTAAAACTTAGTTTTATGAACTCTAGGGAATCTTTAAACTTGTATTTACATTGAAAACAAATTTTGAAAAATTCATAACTGCAATACTTTCCCCTACTACATGCTTAATAAAAAAATTCAAATTAAAGTGTTTTGCAGTATTGTACATAGGATTTTGATGTACCATATTGTCTGTGTAAGTTGCAGTTAGAGTTTCGAAACTGTGGATTGTCATGTGTCTAAATTATATATATCAGCGGAGGGACTACTGGCTCTTCATGCATTCCTGCTAATACTGGTTCAATAGAAAGTATTAATTTATCTTGACAGTATCTTAAATTCTTCAGACAGATAAAATTCAATATCTTAAGACTGACATTTGACAGAAGAATGACATGGAGCCGACATATCAAGAAAAAACAAAAACTAAACTTTAGATGATTATTATATTCATTCCTTTCAAAACATTAGAAATTGAACCTTATTCAGATTTAAGAACTTACTCTCCTGCTACCTCCAAGATATTTTATTGCTCACTTTTTCTTAAAAACAGAGCAAGGGAAGGTAGAAAAATAGTAGATCATATACAATTACTTTTATTTATTTGAACCCTACTGTGCCATTGAGGCAATACAGGTTTTGCAGATCTGGGTTGTTCACGTCACTGCATAACTGCCATGAGATGTAGATTTGCTATTTATGGGCTTATGCCACTCCTTGTTCACGCGGTCTCCCGGGTGCGGGTTCTCTTCTTGTGAGGTTGAAGTGTGCGGGTCCAATTGTTTCTTTCCACTCGTACACAAATGTAGTACTGATAGTTTTCTTCCGTAACTAGCTGAGGGAAATTGGTCTCTGTGAGAACATAGGGACCAGTCTACCTCATCAATTTAGCCCTTAGCAACTTGAAGGAGGTGCAGTTTATGATAATGTGCTCAGCAGTCTCCGGGATCCCACAGGTAGGGCATAGAGGATCGATATCTTTTCGAAATGCATGGATCTTGTCTCGAAAGCCTCCCTGCCCAGTAATGCAGGAGAACCTATTTGGCTTCCAAACGTGATTGGACGGTGGGGAAGTACTTTCTCAGAGTGGCTTCTTTCCGGCATGTCAGTACCATTGATTCCACACTTTAATTGGATCCTCCTGGATAATAGATTTCCATTTTCTGGAGTTTTCATTGATTCTCTTTTTGAGGTTTCCCGGTAGGCCTGCTGAACCTTCTTTCTTATATATGTACCTGAACATATCTTCTCGCAGGAGTTCGAGAGGCACTCCTCCCGCTAATAACTGCACCGCCTCATGAGAAACAGTCCTGTACGCTCTGGTGACTCGCTGCAGAGCTGTTCGCTGGATTGTCACCAACTTGCTCTTCTGTCGGTGCGAGAGATTCCGATTCCACGCAGGAGACACATACCTCAGTATACCTACAACCATACCTCTATAAATGGTCATTGTTGCTGGAATAAAAAAAAAATCCAAGAAATCTCAAAACCAGCTCCTTTTCACCCTTCAGTGGGTGTTTTATGGCAAATGTGTTATAGCCATGTTTTTTATAAGTTTGTTAAGAATTTTTTTATGTGAGATGCAAATGTGATCGACCATAGGTATCTCCTTTTCTTTATACACTCACTTATTATATTTCAAATAAAAAAAGTTGTTGGTATATGAACTTAGAACGCAGCCGCTAGTTT